AACGTTATCACACAGCTAGCCAGCTAGGTTAGCTTTAGCTAACGTTAGCTGCTACGTCCTGAGTGAACAGGGAGAACTGAACTAGCGCTTATTTACTAGCTTATATGACATCGTTTTTTATTAACTTACCTTAATATGCTTCTTCAGATTAGATGGGGAATTTTTGAAGGCCATGATTCCACGATCTTTCGGGAGGCTTTATTTTTATTGATGATGAGGAGCCAGCTTCCCAAACCCTGACAAAGCTATCTATCATTACATTTATATATCAGTAACCAGTAACGATTCAGAAAGTGAAAAATCGATCGGAGTAAAAGTATTAAATTAATCAAAAATATGTAGTGGAGTAAAAGTAAAAGTAGTGAAAAATATCTACTCAAATAAAGTACAGATACTGCATTTTGGTAGAGTAACTAAGTAGTTCTACTTCGTTACTGAACATCTCTGGGCAGGAAAACTCACAGGCTGACAGCATATGTCTATACAAATATACATATATCATACATACATATCTTAAACACTAAAATACCCACAGAGTATGAAAAATCTAAGATGGTTTATTTTTAAGTCTGTTCTCGAGAATCTGTGAGTCAAATCAGACATCTCTGAAAAAAGTGTGGGCCACTTTATAGCAGAGGCCAAATTATTCTACAGTTTTAACTGGAATTTACACGAAGAAAGTCTGAGGAAAGATAAGGAAACAACCTGTCTTTCTCTTTTGTTCTTTCATCAGCAGTTTTTTTTTCTAATTTCTTATTTGCCATCCCTTCTAATAAAGTAACATATCCAATCATAACGTTTTATATTAATATGTGTGTTGACCTCCATTAGCTAACTTTGTAAAATACTTTTTATGGTGTAATCTTGTTGGGCCATAGTCTTTTCCTTAATTTTTATAAATCCACAACCACACTTTTTCCTCAACAACATGAATAAGAATCGTTTAAAAATAACATTTTAAAATCACATTCTGGGTTTCCACAACAAATGACAATTTGTGGTTTTGCTTCAGATTGTGCAATTTCTAAAGTTTCTCATTTAAACTTTATTAAATTGGTTTAAAAACAAAAGTGTAGACAGCTCTACATGAACCAAAACAAACAAAAGACATTTACACATAATGACAAAAATGGACTGAACTGTGTGTAGTAAAAAATTACATTTAGTCTCGGCTGAGTTTTCTTTTATGTTATCCCATAAAAAACACCTGCATTACTTCCTACAGACACATCCTGATTTCTGAGAAAACCCGATACTAAACACAAACTAAACACAAACTAAACACAAACTAAACACAAACTAAACACAACAGTTAGCTGCCCAGAACAGAGAGTTAGTCCTGACTCATGCTTCGTTTGTTTTTAGTGGACTTTCCCACAGCGCTGTGATCTAAACCAGTGTTTTTCAACCTTTTTTGAGCCAAGGTACATTTTTTCATTAAAAAAATCACGAGGCACAACACCAACCAACAAATCTGTAGCCGCCTATAGTAACACTATAGTTATTCTTATTTTATTCTTATCTTATCTACCTATAGTAACACTATAGTTATTCTTATCTTATCTTAAGTGTCTTGAAAAGGAATCAAATAAACACAAAAATGTATTTTTATCTTATTTTATATTTCTTCTTTCAAATTGCACTTACCATGTCCACTTCAATATACAAAATTAAATACAAAATCTAGTCATAAGGAATTATTACATGATTACTCCACCAGTCACTAGAACAGCACACACACTCAGAAATGGAATATTATTTGCAGATAATTAATTCCTTATCAAAAAGTCTTTTTAGACCAATGAGGTGAAATAGGATGATTTTCTACACCTGACCATCACTAACGGCACACTAGTGTACCGAGGACCAGGGGTTGAAAAACACTGATCCAAACTGCTGACTCAAAGAAAAGAAATCTTACATTTAATGCACAACTTTACAAGAACGAAACGGTCATAAAATTGTTCAGCAAACTGAAAAGCAATCAGAGCTGCTGTGGCCGTCAGAGAGGGTTTCTGCAGGTCAGTAATTGGATTTCTGGGGCGGTTAAATTAATAAAGACACTCCCCTTTAAGGGATGGAGACCTGAGATGTGAGAGTGTTTATGCATACTGAACAGGACCGTTGTGTTTCTGTAGAATTACCGTTCATGTGGATCTGGAAGTCATTTGGGAGAAGATGTCAGTGAAAAGTAATTTATAGAATCATATCCAGTTTTTGTAAATCTGCTTAAATAGCACGCCTCACTTAGGCTGTTATTTTACTCCTCAGCCTCAATGAAGTGCGTGAATTTATTACTGCCGGAGTCTGGTCTCAGTGTAACGAGATAAAAGTTTAATGGGCTGCTGTTGGAAAACGGGCTCTCGTGGACATCTTGGCTTAACACAGTTAGAGACTCTAACTGGATTTGAGGAAACTCACGTTGTGGCTGAAGAACGCACCAGCAGCAGGAATAAAAGAGAAAAACCTCTAAGAGACAGATTTATATTTGAAAGAGGGCTTAAATTTGCATGCAAAATCCCACCGTTCTTTGGAGATCATCACTATATCAAACCACCATAATAAACCAACACAAACCCTAGAATGGTGTTCACTTATATCGGGCTCAAAGAAGCTATCAGAAGGCTCCGAGTTTACAGGAAGGCTTTAAAAAATCATTAGTCAACCTATTTTTACAATCTACCACCTTAGATCAAAAAGAACCATAAAGGGTAACCAACAATACGGGGAAATGGAGACCAAGATGAAAGAATCCCTTTGGGTCTCCCATTTAAGCTGCTAGTACGAGCATTTAACCTAAGTTAAATAATTGCATAATTTTTTATCCAGTTTTTTTTTTTTTTTTGCTGGTTAAACAAGGTCAGAGCCAAGATTTATCACCAAAATACAGCCAACCAAATATCAACCATCAGGAATATGAGGCGGATAAATCTGGTATTAATGTTTCAGGTTTTAATCGTATTAATTCTGAAAAATGTTTTTGTCTCCTAACTGAGAGAGATTTTTATTTGACAACTCTTGCTTTGGTTAGTTGTTTTAGCAGTTCTTTGATCTATTAAGAACAGTTTTCCTGTGGTAATGGTGATGTAATTGGAGTGTTCTGTTTGTGTGTGGGGGGTTTCCCTGTGGATCCTCACTTTGAGAGGGTTTGTCCTGCTGGGGTTTGAGTATCTGATATATGAGTATCCCCACCACCTCAGCAGCCTGTTTTTTTTAGCTCCCTCTCATGTAAACCAGCACCTTGTCAGCTTTCCAACCTCCATCGTGCTCCTAGACCCACCAGGCCCGGCAAGGCTACGTGATTTACCGTATCCGTGTGCGCCGTGGAGGCCGTAAGCTTCCTGTTCCCAAGGGTGCTAGCTGTGGCAAGCCGCTCCACCATGGTGTCAATCACATCAAGTTTGCCCGGAGTTTGCAGTCCACTGAGCCGCTCGTCACTGAGAGTGCTCAATCCTTACTGGGTGGGTGAAGACTCGACCCACAGGTTCTTTGAGGTGATACTGGTCGACCCCCTCCACAGGGAAGAGGCAAAAACCTGCAGCTGCACCGCTATCGCTAGACCCTGTCTGTACATCTAAAGAAATAAACAGCCCTTTTCATGGTGGAAAAAAAGAAAAAAAAGAAAAGGACGGTCCACACACTTTATTTCCTTCTTCTAGCGGCCTGTGAAGAAAGAGGCCGGGTTCCTGCAGAGCTGTGCTGGATGTGGTCAGAACAACACTTTCCAATATCCCTGAACCTCTCCAAAGGTCTGGTCAGCCAAATCTATTTTCACATCCATTCAGAGGCCCTTTTCCTCCAGGGGAATTAGCACCTTTAGCAAAAGTTTGACAAAACTGAAGAACCCTTTAAAGCCTGACCCAAGAATAAAACAAAACAGAAAATTACTTTTTTTTGGTTTGAATTCCTTATTTGGCCTTTTAACTAAATATGTAAAAAGAAAAAAACTGAAATACATTTTTAATATTAATAATTTATTACTATGCGATAAATCCAGATTATGTTTTGTGTAGTCTTCTGCCCCCTGTTATCAGGTGTATCTGATTGTGTACAATAGGATTTTGAGCAAAGTTTTTACCATTAAATTATGCAAAAGGAGTCAGACGCAAAACATTTAAGAAACCGTATGAATCAGATATGACACATTTGGCTTTACAGGGTTAATAACTCAATAATCAAACAGGACCAGGATCTGTGAACCCTGTAGTTTAAATGGATTTTTTCTTTAACTTCCATTTCTGTATCACACTAGCAGCAAATCCAGTCACTTCTAATAACTCCTGTAAACCATGTTATGATTATTCTTCCATTTTCCCTCTCTGGCTCAGAACCTTTTCCCTCACCTGTGGAAATAACTGTTGGAGGAATGGAGGTTGATCTATCTAATATCCCCTCATGGCACATTAACTCACTTTTATGGTTTCTTTTCCAAAGCGTTGGTTCCTCAGACATTACCTTTGTGGCCCGATATAATTTATCACCCCAAAAGTTTGTGGACACAGATGGATAATAGTGGCTGTAAATCTGCAGGTGGATGGATGCTCTGCTGCAGAGCCTCGCTCATTTTATCCAATTTCCCATGATGCACTTCATCTGGAAACTTCACAGTGTTAACCCGATTCTTTAGTTGGAAACCTGAGAATAAACCAGAGTGGATCAAAAGGTATAAAAATTTACATTTATTGGACACAGTTACAGTGGGGGAAATAAGTATGTGAGCCCTTGCTGATTTTGCAGGTTTGCCCACTTACAAAGAATGCAACGATCTATAACTTTAATCATATGTACATTCTAACAGTGAAAGACAGAATCCCAAAGAAAATTCCAGAAAATCACATCATATGAATTTATAAAAACTGATAACCATCTGATGAGGAAAAATAAGCATTCTTTGTAAGTGGGCAAACCTGCAAAATCAGCAAGGGCTCAAATACTTATTTCCCCCACTGTAACTGTGTCCAATAAATGTACATTTTTATACCTTTTGATCCACTCTGGTTTATTTTCAGGTTTCCAGCTAAAGAATCGGGTTAACACTGTGAAGTTTCCAGATGAAGTGCATCATGGGAAATTGGATAAAATGAGCGAGGCTCTGCAGCAGAGCATCCATCCACCTGCAGATTTACAGCCACTATTATCCATCTGTGTCCACAAACTTTTGGGGTGATAAATTATATCGGGCCACAAAGGTAATGTCTGAGGAACCAACGCTTTGGAAAAGAAACCATAAAAGTGAGTTAATGTGCCATGAGGGGATATTAGATAGATCAACCTCCATTCCTCCAACAGTTATTTCCACAGGTGAGGGAAAAGGTTCTGAGCCAGAGAGGGAAAATGGAAGAATAATCATAACATGGTTTACAGGAGTTATTAGAAGTGACTGGATTTGCTGCTAGTGTGATACAGAAATGGAAGTTAAAGAAAAAATCCATTTAAACTACAGGGTTCACAGATCCTGGTCCTGTTTGATTATTGAGTTATTAACCCTGTAAAGCCAAATGTGTCATATCTGATTCATACGGTTTCTTAAATGTTTTGCGTCTGACTCCTTTTGCATAATTTAATGGTAAAAACTTTGCTCAAAATCCTATTGTACACAATCAGATACACCTGATAACAGGGGGCAGAAGACTACACAAAACATAATCTGGATTTATCGCATAGTAATAAATTATTAATATTAAAAATGTATTTCAGTTTTTTTCTTTTTACATATTTAGTTAAAAGGCCAAATAAGGAATTCAAACCAAAAAAAAGTAATTTTCTGTTTTGTTTTATTCTTGGGTCAGGCTTTAAAGGGTTCTTCAGTTTTGTCAAACTTTTGCTAAAGGTGCTAATTCCCCTGGAGGAAAAGGGCCTCTGAATGGATGTGAAAATAGATTTGGCTGACCAGACCTTTGGAGAGGTTCAGGGATATTGGAAAGTGTTGTTCTGACCACATCCAGCACAGCTCTGCAGGAACCCGGCCTCTTTCTTCACAGGCCGCTAGAAGAAGGAAATAAAGTGTGTGGACCGTCCTTTTCTTTTTTTTCTTTTTTTCCACCATGAAAAGGGCTGTTTATTTCTTTAGATGTACAGACAGGGTCTAGCGATAGCGGTGCAGCTGCAGGTTTTTGCCTCTTCCCTGTGGAGGGGGTCGACCAGTATCACCTCAAAGAACCTGTGGGTCGAGTCTTCACCCACCCAGTAAGGATTGAGCACTCTCAGTGACGAGCGGCTCAGTGGACTGCAAACTCCGGGCAAACTTGATGTGATTGACACCATGGTGGAGCGGCTTGCCACAGCTAGCACCCTTGGGAACAGGAAGCTTACGGCCTCCACGGCGCACACGGATACGGTAAATCACGTAGCCTTGCCGGGCCTGGTGGGTCTAGGAGCACGATGGAGGTTGGAAAGCTGACAAGGTGCTGGTTTACATGAGAGGGAGCTAAAAAAAACAGGCTGCTGAGGTGGTGGGGATACTCATATATCAGATACTCAAACCCCAGCAGGACAAACCCTCTCAAAGTGAGGATCCACAGGGAAACCCCCCACACACAAACAGAACACTCCAATTACATCACCATTACCACAGGAAAACTGTTCTTAATAGATCAAAGAACTGCTAAAACAACTAACCAAAGCAAGAGTTGTCAAATAAAAATCTCTCTCAGTTAGGAGACAAAAACATTTTTCAGAATTAATACGATTAAAACCTGAAACATTAATACCAGATTTATCCGCCTCATATTCCTGATGGTTGATATTTGGTTGGCTGTATTTTGGTGATAAATCTTGGCTCTGACCTTGTTTAACCAGCAAAAAAAAAAAAAAAACTGGATAAAAAATTATGCAATTATTTAACTTAGGTTAAATGCTCGTACTAGCAGCTTAAATGGGAGACCCAAAGGGATTCTTTCATCTTGGTCTCCATTTCCCCGTATTGTTGGTTACCCTTTATGGTTCTTTTTGATCTAAGGTGGTAGATTGTAAAAATAGGTTGACTAATGATTTTTTAAAGCCTTCCTGTAAACTCGGAGCCTTCTGATAGCTTCTTTGAGCCCGATATAAGTGAACACCATTCTAGGGTTTGTGTTGGTTTATTATGGTGGTTTGATATAGTGATGATCTCCAAAGAACGGTGGGATTTTGCATGCAAATTTAAGCCCTCTTTCAAATATAAATCTGTCTCTTAGAGGTTTTTCTCTTTTATTCCTGCTGCTGGTGCGTTCTTCAGCCACAACGTGAGTTTCCTCAAATCCAGTTAGAGTCTCTAACTGTGTTAAGCCAAGATGTCCACGAGAGCCCGTTTTCCAACAGCAGCCCATTAAACTTTTATCTCGTTACACTGAGACCAGACTCCGGCAGTAATAAATTCACGCACTTCATTGAGGCTGAGGAGTAAAATAACAGCCTAAGTGAGGCGTGCTATTTAAGCAGATTTACAAAAACTGGATATGATTCTATAAATTACTTTTCACTGACATCTTCTCCCAAATGACTTCCAGATCCACATGAACGGTAATTCTACAGAAACACAACGGTCCTGTTCAGTATGCATAAACACTCTCACATCTCAGGTCTCCATCCCTTAAAGGGGAGTGTCTTTATTAATTTAACCGCCCCAGAAATCCAATTACTGACCTGCAGAAACCCTCTCTGACGGCCACAGCAGCTCTGATTGCTTTTCAGTTTGCTGAACAATTTTATGACCGTTTCGTTCTTGTAAAGTTGTGCATTAAATGTAAGATTTCTTTTCTTTGAGTCAGCAGTTTGGATCAGTGTTTTTCAACCCCTGGTCCTCGGTACACTAGTGTGCCGTTAGTGATGGTCAGGTGTAGAAAATCATCCTATTTCACCTCATTGGTCTAAAAAGACTTTTTGATAAGGAATTAATTATCTGCAAATAATATTCCATTTCTGAGTGTGTGTGCTGTTCTAGTGACTGGTGGAGTAATCATGTAATAATTCCTTATGACTAGATTTTGTATTTAATTTTGTATATTGAAGTGGACATGGTAAGTGCAATTTGAAAGAAGAAATATAAAATAAGATAAAAATACATTTTTGTGTTTATTTGATTCCTTTTCAAGACACTTAAGATAAGATAAGAATAACTATAGTGTTACTATAGGTAGATAAGATAAGAATAAAATAAGAATAACTATAGTGTTACTATAGGCGGCTACAGATTTGTTGGTTGGTGTTGTGCCTCGTGATTTTTTTAATGAAAAAATGTACCTTGGCTCAAAAAAGGTTGAAAAACACTGGTTTAGATCACAGCGCTGTGGGAAAGTCCACTAAAAACAAACGAAGCATGAGTCAGGACTAACTCTCTGTTCTGGGCAGCTAACTGTTGTGTTTAGTTTGTGTTTAGTTTGTGTTTAGTTTGTGTTTAGTTTGTGTTTAGTATCGGGTTTTCTCAGAAATCAGGATGTGTCTGTAGGAAGTAATGCAGGTGTTTTTTATGGGATAACATAAAAGAAAACTCAGCCGAGACTAAATGTAATTTTTTACTACACACAGTTCAGTCCATTTTTGTCATTATGTGTAAATGTCTTTTGTTTGTTTTGGTTCATGTAGAGCTGTCTACACTTTTGTTTTTAAACCAATTTAATAAAGTTTAAATGAGAAACTTTAGAAATTGCACAATCTGAAGCAAAACCACAAATTGTCATTTGTTGTGGAAACCCAGAATGTGATTTTAAAATGTTATTTTTAAACGATTCTTATTCATGTTGTTGAGGAAAAAGTGTGGTTGTGGATTTATAAAAATTAAGGAAAAGACTATGGCCCAACAAGATTACACCATAAAAAGTATTTTACAAAGTTAGCTAATGGAGGTCAACACACATATTAATATAAAACGTTATGATTGGATATGTTACTTTATTAGAAGGGATGGCAAATAAGAAATTAGAAAAAAAAACTGCTGATGAAAGAACAAAAGAGAAAGACAGGTTGTTTCCTTATCTTTCCTCAGACTTTCTTCGTGTAAATTCCAGTTAAAACTGTAGAATAATTTGGCCTCTGCTATAAAGTGGCCCACACTTTTTTCAGAGATGTCTGATTTGACTCACAGATTCTCGAGAACAGACTTAAAAATAAACCATCTTAGATTTTTCATACTCTGTGGGTATTTTAGTGTTTAAGATATGTATGTATGATATATGTATATTTGTATAGACATATGCTGTCAGCCTGTGAGTTTTCCTGCCCAGAGATGTTCAGTAACGAAGTAGAACTACTTAGTTACTCTACCAAAATGCAGTATCTGTACTTTATTTGAGTAGATATTTTTCACTACTTTTACTTTTACTCCACTACATATTTTTGATTAATTTAATACTTTTACTCCGATCGATTTTTCACTTTCTGAATCGTTACTGGTTACTGATATATAAATGTAATGATAGATAGCTTTGTCAGGGTTTGGGAAGCTGGCTCCTCATCATCAATAAAAATAAAGCCTCCCGAAAGATCGTGGAATCATGGCCTTCAAAAATTCCCCATCTAATCTGAAGAAGCATATTAAGGTAAGTTAATAAAAAACGATGTCATATAAGCTAGTAAATAAGCGCTAGTTCAGTTCTCCCTGTTCACTCAGGACGTAGCAGCTAACGTTAGCTAAAGCTAACCTAGCTGGCTAGCTGTGTGATAACGTT